TATTATAACATATAATAAGTAATAAAATATAAATGAAAATGATATGAATATATGATATACAATATAAAAACAAAAGAATAATAAGAATAAATGATAAATAAATATAGAAATGATAGTCAATGATATAATAATAAAATCAAAATATAAAAGATAAATTTAATATTAATAAAAATCAAAAGAGAATAAATATAAAATGAAAATAGATATAAATGATAATAATATAAAAGATGAATAAATATGAATAAACAAATAATAAAATACATTTAAATAGAAAAGAATAACAATAAGAAAATCTAAATAATATAAACATAAAAAATAATAAAATAAGAAGAATATAATAATATATAGATAATAAGAAGAATACAATGATATAAATAATATAAACAGAGAAATAAATATAAAAATACGATAGATAAAAATACGATAGATAAATAACATAATAATAAAAATAATTAAATATGATTCATCAAATCATCTATTTCATTAATATTTCATACAAAATGAATAGAAATGATAATAAAATATAAACATAAATATATACAGATTGTATATTTATCATACTTTTTTTATTTTTTATTTATTTTTATTTTAGGAGCAAAATATAATAAATGAAAAATTCTATGGATGCAAATTTTTTTGCATCTTTTTTCATTTTTGTAAATTATTTAGATGCATTTTTTCTTTGCTAATTTTCGTACCCATCCGTGAATGACTGAACATATTTTTGAGAAAATCTCTTTAAATCTATCAAATGTTATTAATAATTGTGTCTACAAGCAAACTCCGTTGAAAGATGCTCAAAATGAAATTAAAGAAACAATGAATGTTATTATTAATCAATACAACCATTATATTAGCAAAGATATTATGGATGAAATACTTATTTTAACGTCAAAATTATTATATTCACAAAATATTGAATCACTAATTATTGATTTGAATAAATTAAATGGAGTAATAAGAAGAATTATAGAAAGGATGGTGAATGTTTGTAAAACAGTAAATTGGTATGAACAAGTAAAATTAAGAGTTGTACAAAAAGAAATGTTTGCATCTGAATTGATGGTTCCAAAAGAAATAGAATATGACAAAAGAATTGAAATATTTAAAACCTATATTCACAATGATATTAAATGTCACGATGCCAATGACAAAAGTGCTGTTATTACCACCCTTAGGAAACTAATAATAATTTTATTTCTCCCCATTCATACAAAATCTACTAAAGTAAATAAAAATAATATAAAAATTGTATTTTATTGTAATCATTCAGGAAAGACAAAAGAAACATGTAAAGGAAGAGATTGTGAATATAAAATAATTTTAAGATTAGGATTTGATAATAAAAATAATATTATAGAAATTAATGAACATAAACATCCTTTAGATTATTTTTTTGTTGTATCAAAAACATGCCCTTTGTTAAAATCTGAGAAACATTTAATTCCAAAAGCAAATAATGAAATAATAAAATTTATTGCAAATCATCCTCATATTCAAATTCCTTTTAGAAAATTTAGACAAATTCAGAGAGAAGAAGATAAAAATCACATTTTAGAAAATATATTTATTTCAGAAACATTTTTTGAAAATGAGTCATTTATTAAATTAACAAATACTTTCACTAATGGTTATATTCATTCCCTAATGTTCATTCATAAGAATGTGGCTCAAATGGAATACAGTCAAAGAAGATGGTATGTTGATGATACTGCTAAAACAAATATATATAACAAAAACTTGTATGCTGTTATTGTAAAAGATGATAATTCTTTTAACCAACTTCTTTCTTTTGGTTATTTATTTGATCAATCTGAATGTTCATATAAATTATTTCTTCATCAACTTCACAATATTTTAAATTATGGGCCAGAAATCATCGTGTGTGATCGTTCTATTGCTCAATATAATGCTTTAAAACATGTATTTCCACATTCCAAACTATTCTTCTGCAGAATTCATATAGAAAGGTCATTGACAAAATATTTCAAGAATGATCATATAATAATGAAATTATTTCATTTAACAATGAACATGAAGTTGAATGAAGATGATTTAATTGAAACATGGAAGAGTATTGTAATGAAAAATATTAAAAACTTAGAAGAAGACAGTGATGATGAAAGTACGTACCATGATGATAACGAAAGTAGTGACGAGGAAAATGATGAGCACTTGTTCGAACCAGATACAGGTGATATTATAAATTCAGCAGATGAACCTGACACATCACACGACAACATTCAACAAATGATGGAAGAAGCAAAAGGAATACATATCAATAAAGGACTGATGTGTATAATTGATTTAATCGAACACAAAGAAAACTGGATTCCTTCTGAATGTATCAAATATGGGATGTATCGAGATTTTACAACAAATAGAGTAGAAGGATTCTTTGGGCACTTGAAAAAAATAATTAATCATAGCCAGGTTCCTTTATATTTATTAACAGACAATATTTATGCACTTGCAAATACAATGTTTAATAATATAATTGGGATTGATCTTCCTGATGAAATTATAGATAAAAATGTTCCTCATTTTAATTTATTGACTGAATTTTCAAAGAAAGTCTTAAAATCTCAATACAACGTATTAAATAATAATGTAATATGTGATGACACTCATTATTGTATTAGTTGTCAAATAAGAAATGTTAATCCTAAAGTAGCATGGCCTTGTTATCATTTGATGAAAGAAAGAAAAACTATGTCATTAAAATATCTTATTAATTATGATGACCTTCCATCATTTGCTTTTAAATCAAAAGAAATTAAAGTAAATTGGACTGATAAATCAATTTCTAATATTGATTTACCAAATAATTATACTTTGATAGCAAATGTAATTGTAAATAAAATAAAACATAATACAAATGTACATCCAAGGAATAAAGTTGATATTAGGAAAAGAACTTCAAAAGAAGTATTTTTTAATGAAATTGCTCCATTTCAATTGAAGAAGTGTAGAATTCCTGAAAAAAGTAAATGTGAAGAAGATAATATTGAAGAAAGAATGTCATCAATTCATTCACAAAATTCTAACACTCAACTATCTCAAATTGAAATATATACTGATGACATACATGAATATGATAGTATATTAACAGA